ACCTTGCCAGGATCATTCGATCTCAGCAGTATTGCTGCCCAGAGCAGGGGGGCTGGACTCGATCTTTTAAGGCCCCTTCCAGCCTTTCATTTCTGTGATTCTATGACCTGTCACTCAAAGGAAAGCATCTATGAAACAGATAAGCAAGGAGCATTTGAAAAAGAAGAGATTATGCTCTTTCATGCTTTTGAGATGGGGATTTACTTCAGCTCCCTCTAAAGTTTGTACTATGCCAACATCATCTTTTCCTTGGAATAACAGCTACACTGAAATAATACCTGGGAAAAGTGTTAAATGCTACAGGACACTTCAATCTGTGGAAACAAACAATACTAGTATTTATATAGTGTCCTCATGGTAAGAAACAACTTCTGAAACGAGGTTTGTAGCAGCATCATAACCTCAATGCATGAGCTAGTAAAACTCCTCTCCACAAATGGGCTGTTGCCCCCGTCTCCACAATGCATTTTCTACTGCCAGAAACAAACTCAGAGCGCGCCAGATTGACACACAATAAAAGCAGAAGGGATAAAACACAGCACGACAAAGCACACGCACATTGACAAACAATAAAAGCAGAAAGGATAAGAGGCAGCATGACAAGCACATGCACGCTGACAAACTTAGCCTGGAAGAGGAGTTGGGTCATCTAGCAAAAGACTTACAATTTTCAGATCCATGCAATCTGATTCTGTGAACTTTAAAATGTTTCTTTAATGTTTAATTAGCTACCAAAAGATGGGGAGGGGGGTTTGTTGCTTTGTTTCGTTTTGTAGGAAGGGTCATTTTCAAAACTTTTCAAATCTGGCAGTCCCAAACTCATTTTGAGGAAAGCCAAATAAAAAGTTCATTTGGATTGGTCAGGATTTCTTGATTTGTATTCACAGAATCAGAGAGAAGTCGGGCTGGAATGGACTTCCAGAGGTCGTCTAGTCCATCTCCCTGCCTGCACACATTTATACTGTAAACTTATCATACAAGAGGTATATATTTTACTCAGGTCTGAAAATTACTGCATGCATTTACTGTGAGTTTTCAAAATAAAAATAAACATAATATTAGCAAATTTGTTCAGCAGTGAATCTCATCATTTTTGACAATAAAGTTGCTCTTTGGTATAAACCACTGACTAGTTTCTAGGTACACCATATTTGCTTCCATTTTATAGGCTTCATGCAAATATGGAACACATTGCACAAAATCAGAGCATACACATGGATATAGTACCTCATTAAGTGCTGACAATATTCTTTCAACTGTATGAGAGACTACAGTACAGACAGGCCCTGTCGGAGGGACTTGGGATATGAACAACATACATTTTAGCTACTCAAAAGGAGGGAGCTGCAACTGGGGTGTGCACATCTGCTGCTACACTGCAACCGTTACATATGCACCATCCTGTACCGGTATTTGCAAATGAGTTAAACTGTTCCAATTAGGACCTGAATGAAGCAGAGTTAAACCACAAGAGGATTTGCTACATTTGCATCACTACAGAATTAGGCAGATATAACAGCAGCATCATGAGACAGTGGTCCCCAAACTGTGGGTCGCAAACCCAAATGGGGGTCACAACATCAGCAGATGGGGTCACGGAGATGGGGGGCCACGCTGAGGAAATGGGATCACGCTAAAAAATTTTTGGGAAGCATCGTCATAAGAGCTTATATTTTTTTTATACCGATACAATTGTTACATCTGTGTATACCGAAGACACCGATTAACATTTCGGGCTTAAGGAGAAACTCTGGGTCACCAGTGTCTGGACCCAGCAGATCTGTATGCATATCATACAAACACACACCGGTCCAAATCCAACCCAAAGTGCTCACCATTCCTCAGTCCAGGTGAGGACACGTTACAAGGGGGCAGAAAAAGCCTCCACCACAGTAGCTAAGTCTCTAGAATCTCCTAAGGATTCCTGAGCACACAGGAAAGAGCCAACTGGACGGCCACAAAGACGACCCCCAATGCCCTCACTAACTCTTGTGCTGGGGAGGCAGGTCAGATTCACTCCAGACGCAGGAAGCTGAAGATGGAGCCTTACCAGGTGGTGACTGTGCAAGTCCTCCTCTGTGCACAGCTATGGTGGCTTCAGTCTCAGGAGTGCTGCTCTAGGCAGAGGTTGTGGGCCTTCCCTGGCTTTCTCAGCTGCATGTGCCAACTAGCTCACAGCTCACTGGAGGTGCAAGCCAACATAAGTAGTTGAGGAATGTAAATGGAAGCACACCCACAATCTTTCATGTTGATGTTGTTGCACACCAACATGGCAGCGGAAGATGACGATGTACAGCACATCACCGACTCCAAACTGATGTGAGAACAACTCCAAATCATGGAATGGTGCTTCTGGTTAAGGCAGACAAGCAGCAATGGATGCAAGAGCATTATCCTGTCCACCTGGGACAATAAGCAGTGGTGGATGAAGTCCCATAGGTCCTGAACCACCTTCATGGAAATCTGCACTGGTGCTTAATCAGGGACGAGGGCTCTCCAGATCAGTTTGGCACGGGCAAGTCCATGGCAGATTTGGCAGTGCAGGAGGTGTATCTGGTGATGAAGTGCTGGGAACACCGTTTATCTGCCTTGCCAACCCTTGAGTGGCTGTGGCTGGTTTCAGCCCTATGGGGTTCTCAACCGCACTGGGGCCATTCACAGCACACACATTTCCATCCTAGCTCCTGCACAATGAAACAGATGACAACCACCACAAGGGCTTCTTTTCCATGGTGTCATGGGGTGTTGTGGACCCCAAGGGACAGTTCAGAGGTGTGACTGATGGCCGATTGGGTTATATTCCAATGCCAAGGTATTCCACAACTCCAGCCTCCTGGCTGGGATGCAGCAAAGGGACTTGCACACAAGGTTCCCAGAATCAAGGCTGGGGTTGTGATTTCCTCCCTGCTAATTGGGGACCCAGGATACCTGCTCCAACCTTGGCTCATAAAGTCCCGCACAAGCCACGTGGATGCCCACTGGAATCTCTTTAACCAGTGCCTCAGCAGCTTCCACATGACTGGAGTGCACTCTGGGTGCCTTAAGGCTCCCTGGGAGACGCTGGGTATCTGGCTGGATGTCACAAAGCTCATCATGCTCCACACAATTTTCTCTACCTGCACCCTTCGTAAAATTTGTGAGACCAAGGGGGGAGTTTTCCCATGAGGCCTGGGCAAAGGAAGTATGGTAACTGGAGAGTTGCCAGTCTGTCAGGACTTCCATACACTCAAGGGTCAGCAACCACCAGGACATGCTTGTGTCCTGATGGCTCTACTTCCAATCCCAGAGACGAGACGCAAGAAGGGGTTGGGGGGGCAATGGGACGGGACTTGGGAACAGGCACATTTTCTGCTTCTCTCCTAACCATGAAGCCAATAAACCATGCAATCATGATGGTACTCTTGCAGTGTGCTTAACGCTTGGAGCTTAGACGCCTAGACTTCCAGGGCCAGGGGGCAAGATGAGGGGCTGCAGTCAAGTGGGAAGTAAGGACACAACTTATTTTGGGGAAAAACAATAAGAACTTTTATTAAACATGCAGTGCAAATTAGTTCATCTCTTATCACGAGAACAAAACCCACTTCAAACAACAACATTTAACAAACTGAAGGCGGCTCAAGGACAGCAGCTACACTCTCTGGTCACTTTTCCCCAGGGTAGTGGGGTAGTCAGTACTGAGGGACCATGGCTTCACATTCAAAGAGTTGAATGAACTGGACTTGGCTGAGGCATCCCCACTCACGCACATTGCCACTACCACAGTGGTGCAGGGAGGCTGAGGCCTGCCCGAAGTGCCTCGAAAGAACAGTATCCTGGCACTGGATTGCTGGGTGTAAGGACTGGTTTCTCTTGCCCTAGGAGAGGAGAGCTGCACTGGTGCCTGTAGGTCATGGGAAACAGAAGGGATGCCAGGGAATGCTGCTGCCACCGGCAATGGGAAGGTGTCAGTAGCTGCTGAGTGATGCAGCGCAGGCAGCATCCAGGATGCTCTCTGTGTGCACCTTGATGGAAGCTGCCAGCTGGGCCTGGTTCTCATCCCCTACTGAATGTACTCTGGCAGGGCATGTGGCATGCTTTGCTCCATCCATAGCCCAAGGGATGGTGTCCACATGCCCCTGGGCTTGGAACACTGACATGCACCTGGCCTGGGCCTCTGGATCAGGCAGGCACAGTCAAGGTTCGAATTACACTTTCACTCTTTGGGGGAAAATGGGGGCTCTGCAAAAAAATTAAACCAGTTGATTAACAAGTCCACCTAAGTGAAGGAGCAACCTGATCGGAGACCCACCCGAGTTACGGTTTTCAAATCTTACAGGGGGGTTCTCATCTTTTATGGGGGAGGTGCTCAGCTGAGATTCCCCCTTAATTAGCACCCTGGGCAGAGTGCTGCTGGAATTATTCCACGAGCCCCCTCCACTCATCTACAGCAGCAGCCCTCGGCTGGGAGGTTGGCAAGGGCTGCTAACATCTTCAGTTTTGTTCTAAGCTGGCTGCCTCCAGTGCTGGGCTACCCTTTTGTGTTGCGGCCTTGGGCTGCTGTTGGGTCCAGGGGAGGCTGTAAGTGCTGGCCCTAGAAAAAAGATCAGAGGAACAGGCATTCATTGCAAACTCCTGACTTTAGAGATAAAGATGAAGACCTCCCAACACCAGTTGTAGGGACTGCTTGCTGGCTCTCATTCCTGGCTGCCAGGACTAAATTCATGATGCCATGTGCTCCCTCTGACCAGCCTGTGCACTGGTATCTTTTCCCACTAACCCTTCTCTTCGAACCTTTCCAGGGCAAGCACTGTGGAGTGAGATGTGCAGCACTTCCTGGGGTAGCCCCTCACTGTCCATACTTGATTGCACTTACCATTGCAAAACTACTACTTTTTTTCCTGTTACCTCCTGGTAAGACTGACCGTGGACCAGAATATGCTGTTCTACATGACACAGGACATCCCATCCCTCTATGCTGTTTCCCTACTTGAGAATGATTGTTGGTCAATTCCCTTGAGTGAAAAGAGTTTAAAGAGAAGAGAATAAGCCTTTTCAACACGAGGTCTAGACTGTCAGGCTACCTGCAACTGGTACCAGTATCTCTTGTGGGGCAACTGGGTTGAGATTAAAGCACCCATCGACCTAGCTCTGGAGTAGTGCTCTGCTAAGGGATGTCTTCCCCTACTCATGCCCACCTGCAGGGTCAGACCCACTGTCACAGACCGCTGTAATCCAAGGGTCTCACTGCATGGCTTGCCTGCTCCCCAGCCCACTGCTGTATCCCAGCCAATGTTGCCTCATACTTTGCCAATTGGGTAGCCAGTGCTCAGGTTGAGCAGTCCCAGGCACTTTCTTCACCCATTCTAGACCTCATTAATGAAGGACTGCCTTGGGGAATTTGTTCACATCAATAGGAAGCCTAAATATTCAAACATCCACATGGTCTCCACCCCTACCCCCCAGTCCTCAAGAAGTGTCCCAGGACTGTCAACCTGTCTACCACTGCCAGGAAGCTGAAACCTATGAGGCAGGGGAGGAAGGTGGTGGGGAGGAGGGGCAGGGTTATGCACTGAAATGATCATTCATGACACAGGATTTCCCTGCTCACCTCGACTCCCCTTCCTTCCTTCCTGCTTGCTACTAGGTAATAACATAAGGCTGCCAATCTCACTAATCAGTAATTTACATTTCCCCATTCAAGGTTCTACTTACATGCCTGCCAGGAGACTGGTGGAGAGGAGCAGAAGAGTGGTCTCTTGTCCTGAACAGATCCCATGGTGAACAGCAGGATGTTCCCAACCTGTGAGTGGCAGGTATGTGGGGATGGGAGAGCTGCAAGCAAAAAGGGGGTGGGTTGGTATTTGGGGCAGGGCCAAGATTGCCCCATCACTCCCCCTTCTACTCTCACCCTTGTCTGGGCCTTTATCTGAATTCCTGAATATTCAGTCAACAGTGTGTGTGGGGGGCGGGGTGGGAGGGGAAGGCTGGTTATCAGCATACAGCATAGATGAGTTGTGAAGTGGGCCATAACACTAAACAGGTCACTTAAAGGCTCTCTCAAAAAGTGAGCCACTGAATAGCATGCAATTAAAGTTGCAGAATGGCTTGCAGCCGGACCCTTTGTTAACACACTGCCCCCAAAGGGGAAATTGAGACAGTCTGCAGGTTCACAGGGGAACTGGGGCAGCCATGGTAGCTGCAAAATTCACCTCCCTCCCCACCCAGTCATGCTGGCCCTGTATTTTACAATGTACCATGGCACCACAGTGGGTCACCAAAACCTTCTAGGGACAGATGGCACCAGGGCTCCTTGGCACGTGTCTCAGCCACTGGTAGCAGGGCAGTGGGAGGAAGGCTGCAATGCTGCTGTGGGTACCTGAGGCTGTGCTGCAGAGCACGAAGGGGATGGCAAAGCAATAAGCAGCTGCGTGCTGGGGAGACTTTGCCAAGTCTTAGGGTGATGCTGAGGGAATGGAGTAGGCCCACTCTGTGTTGATCTTGTCCTCGCTGTCCCATGCAAGGGTGAGGTAGGGTTCCATTTCCTTACCCAAAAGTAGTGTGGGTGAATCCTGCTGTGCACCTTGGCTTCTCTGGTCCCTTGGTAATGGCAGACCAGTGGCGGGGGTCATCTCTCCATCTCATCATCATCTTGGCTGGCACTGGAGTGTATGTGGTTGGGCACAACCAGGGTGTAACAGGGCTGAATGGAGTTATTCCCCAGCAGAGTTCACAGCAGCTCCTCGTGATACGTAGTGGTGATCTGACAGGTGCCAGAAACACAACTGGCATCTTATGCCCTCCTGTAACTCAACTTGGAGGTTGTGGTCTTGACCTTGTGCTGCAGCGAGTCCTAGCAGTCTCCCCAAGCTGTCATCTGCACAACAATGCCCTCATACACAGCCTGATTACGGTGGCTTGACTGAAGTGCCCACTAGCTTTCTTCATTGTTCCAAATGGTGAGCAGGTAGAACCAATCTTCCTGTCTTCGGCCGGTGGCGTGCCTGACATAAGGCTGGAGCAGACACTGTGGTATCTAAATGGGTTGAAGCAGGTGTTCCTCGAAACGGTGCTGAAATTGTCACTGACTATGGCAAGTGCTATGGCAAGCTGCCGACCACAACAAGCTGCCAGGCAGCAGCCCAAGGAACGGGAGTGTGCCTTCATGAGCAGTGGAGTGTTGGCAGCAGTAATGTTCCCACCCTTGTTCCCAAGGAGGGGACATGAAATGGGGAAAAAGACCAAATGGAACCGCTGGCCCTAAGGGCAGTAGAGTTCAACCTGTGTCCCAGAGCAGCCACTTACAGGAGTGGGGGAGGTGAAGAGTGTTGCATTGTAGGCTGCCCAGAGGGCCATGTCACAGAACACTTAGCATGTGCACGTAACATGGAACAAATCAAAATCCAACAGGTCACAAGAAAACCTGATTTTTCCAGGTATACTTCTGAACCATTCCCACTAACTTCACACTGGTTTAACTGGCAGGTAAGTCTGTCCACTTTGGGTTTAAACCACATTTGGAACAGGCTAACTGTTATGCATGTCTAAACTCTCCTTTTACTTCTCCCAAACAGATCTATACAGTAGGAAACAGTACAGGGAAGTTACTATGCAGCATGGAGACCCCAGCAGCAGTTACAGTGTCGTGCGGAGCTGGGGCAGAGCTATCTGTTGCCCACATGCCCTGGGCAGGGGCATGCAGGCACTGGATCACAGCTCTGTCCTGGCTCTGGACCACGTTGTCATTGCTGCAAGATCCCAGCCCCAGAGCAGCTCACCACCCAGCTGTGCACCCTGCCAGCACTGCTGGGGCCGGTCTCCATGGAAACCCAGGACCCATGCTGTCATGGCAATGCTGCTCATGGGGTCTCCATGGAAACCAGTCATAGCAACATGGGCAGGGGCGGCTGGAAAATGGAGTCGGATCCCTGGCCGGATCTGCCATTGTGCTCCATGTGCTGTACTCTGGGGGGAGACGGGACAGAGCAGCCCAAGCAGCATCTAACTGTGCAAGGTGGGGAGGGAAAGAAGTGAGAATCAGAGACTGGGCAGTTGAAGCGGGGAGGAAAGGGTGCAGGAAGGCTGCAAGAAGTGGGCAGGGCAGAGGACAAAGGGACCATCTTGACTCCTCAGCCCGCCTGTGCTTTCCCTGCTATAGCAGTGCGGGGTGGAGGATTCAAGACTAGCCTCCAATACTTAGATTCTATACCTGGAAAATTATAACCAATTTATAGATTTTCCATCTATAGAATCTAGTTATTGGGGGTTGTCTTCTATTCAGGCTCATCTTATATTTGAGTAACTACAGTATTTAAATTGTGACTTCACACCTAAAGTTCAAAGGATACTGTTAAAGACAAACAATTATTTCTGTACTAGAGAACAAGCAAGTAACTTACAGACACATAGATCTCATCATCATAAATACTATAAGCTGCAACTTCTCCATGACACTTTACACCTCTGTCTGTTCAGACTTGTATGTTCTTGGTGGAGATCAGGACATTCCGGATCTTCAAAGGCAATGTGGGCACTACTGCTACCTACCATCCCACTCTGCAAACACTGGGAGAAAGCATGTAGCTGTTCTGTACTTCATACAGATGGAAGTCAATGCCTTTTGCACGCATTAGCAAAAGTAGTGCAGGTAATAGGAAAGAAGAAAGGACTGCTGGAAAGTTTTATTTTAAATTCATATTTTATGGGTTTGGATGGGAATTCCCGGAGACAACCTATATGTCACTAAGTAAAGTTAAACTGGCATGTAAGGGGATAGAAAGAGATACTTTGTTTGGTAGATAGAGTCTTCCAGCTCATATGTCTGGTAAATTATCTAGTCTAGCCAGAAGCTCCCCGCACCCTGCCACTGACTAGCGCTGTGCAGCAGTGAATTATATAGGTTAATTATGCAGTTTACATCAATTTACATTTGCCACATTGTCATTTCAGGTGGTCTCTTATGCTTGCATTTTTGGGCAAAGATATCTACCAGCTCACGTCAAGTCAGCATTTTAGAATTCTCTCTCATTTCTCATCTCTCTCTTTCTTTTGTAAACTCAGTAAGCCTAGCCTCTCTCATCCCTCCTTGTACATCTCCATTCTAAACATTTTGTACTCATTACTGATCTTTGCTGGATTTGTGATGTGCAAAACTGAATGAGGTCAGGACATGTCAACACATTTTTTCTTTTAGTGGCTCTTAAACCCCTGCATAGCATCTTAACTGAGGTGACACCCACATTTGTTTCTACTGCCTACTAAAGACATCACGAGTAGTTTGGAACTCAGCAACGCATAAGGTAATAGTCACTGAATGGAAGAGTTCAGGCCGTATGCACATTTCTCCACACTGAACTTAATTTCCTACTGTGTGGCTCATTTTCTTTGCATGGGTGGTCCTTCTGAAGAGAGGTTTGTGAGGCTCCATCGCTGACTAACCAGACCCACTATGTCACTACTGACTGGCCTCCCACTAACCTCACCTTGTCAGATCACTACACTGTAGCATGCTATAGTGCTGCACATACCCAGAGCTGGCTCCTCATGGCTTCACTTTAGCAGATACAGCCAGCTTGAGAGAGGAAGTACTTTGCTTCCTCTCTCAAGCTGGCTTTTTATCTGCTACAGGACTTTACTTCTTATTTTGCTCATGAGAAATTTGCTAAAGCCTTAAAGCCCAACAGGATACCAGCAGTTCTTCAGATTCTTTTTTTTTTTCCAAAATTCCCTAAATAAGTAAAACAGGGCATAAACACCTCTAACATTACTGAAAACAAGTTGGTTTGTCTCTATAATTTTAAGCTTCTCTAAATGTGTCTAATAAATTTCTTTGGCTACTTTTTCCAGTACCGAAGTAAAATTCAACTCTTTCAGGTTCCCTCTTAGCACCTTTATAACAACATTAGCCATCCTACTGTTTACTAACACTTTAGGTCCTTATGGTGGTATCCTGTACTCCTGACTTAACCTGAGAAGGTAATTTGTACTCTCTCATGAGAGTGAAGGCAAGTCTGAGAGACAGAAAGAATCAGAGCTCTCTTGACCATCCTCCTTCCTTACTAATATTCCTCATGTGGCTGTATAAATCTCAGCAAGAGGAATGCACTAGGACTAACACACACCCTCCTCTTAATCCACTTCCCAGCTCTGTCTGAACTGCTCTTTTTATTTCACTTATATGGATCATAAAAAAAAAAATGGATCTGATTTCATATGCAACAATATTGCAAGAGTTGGTACAGCACAAAGGCCTAAACATCCACAAATTGCTTTCAGGGGCATGTCTATATTGCACAATGCACTGGCACATGGAGATATCGGAGCTATCTTTGAACAAGCTTGCCTCTGACACCCAAGCTATCTAGCTACAGGCTACACATCACTAAATTTGCTCTGTCAACTAATTTGTTTCTAGCTAGCTTAGGCATCTCTATGTTGCATCACAATCTGAGGATACTCCCACCATCCTGCGTAAACAGAATTCGAAAAATGCTTTTTCTATTCTGGAATGTTTTTCTTTAGTTCTCATTAAGAAATCTGCTTCCCCACAAGACTTGCCTGAAATCTAGTAAATAATTGGTTCCAAGTAGTGCTCTCTCTAGAAACAAAGCATGGCTCCCCTATATTGTACTGCTTTTCACTGTTCCCAAAAGTAGGAGAATTTGATGTTTATGGGGATTATACATGTACCCGTAGTGCTGCTGACCAACGTGAGAAATTAAATCCTGTACAACAGTGCTTCTCAAAGTGGCGATCTGCGGACCGGTGCCAGTCCATGAGCCACCGGTCGCCAGTCTGCAGCAAGTTGCCAGGAAAGAAAGAAATATATTTTCAGAAGCATAACATTGATATGTCATATCGCCACAGTTCTTATGTTCCAACACTCCAGGTGATGTCACGTGGTGCGAGGTGAGGAAAGAGAAAGAAACAGCTGGTCGCGCATTTGTGTAGTGCTGTTACATGCAGTTGCTGTCACCGGCTGAACCAGGCACCAGTCCCTGGCCTACTGGAAAAAAAAATGCCAGTCCACCACATCAGATACTTTGAGAAGCACGGCTGTACAATACATATTGTACAGCCCTCCTGCGAGGGCTGGAAGGTCCCATCTGCCGGCCCA